GGCCAAGCTCGCTCTCCATTCATTGCCGTCAAATTAATTTGTTTTAATTGATTTAAGATATAATTCTTAAAATTTAAACTAATTTAGAGACAATTGGAAGATCAGCACCACCCCCATTTTAAGAGGGTGAGCAAAAATGCACTCTATGCATGCAGTTCTGAAACCAAAGCATAGCCTCATGACAGGTCCGACATATAATTCGATAAGGACGAGAGGCTTGATCGGAATAAGCAATGGCAGAATGATGGCTGCAAATCACCTAATCCCCGTTGGATGGTTCCTTATAGGTACCGTTTGGTACGTGGGACGAGACGGAACGGAGTGGGACGAGGTGTTCCGTCCCTTATTTGGTGCGCCTAAAATGGGTGGAACGCACTGTTCCACGGGACGAGTTTTGGGTGAATTTTCGTTCCGCCTCACCCCCTGTAACGACTCGTTTCACATCCGTGGAACACAAAATTATAACATCTTCGTCTCCTTCTTCTTCCTCCTTGTTTCCATCCGAGGGCATCTTTGCTCCCTCTCTGTTCCGTCTTGTCCTGTCCTGTCCCGTCCCGTCCCATTCCGTTTCGTCCCGTCCCGTCTGCATACCAAACAATACCTTTTGGTATGCAGACGGACGGGACGGAACGGAGAGGGAGCAAAGATGCCCTCGGATGGAAACAAGGAGGAAGAAGAAGGAGACGGAGATGTTATAATTTTGTGTTCCACGGATGTAGAATGAGTCGTTCCGGGAAGGTGAGGCGGAACGAAAATTCACCCAAAATTTATCCTGTGGAACAGCGTGTTCCATCCGTTTTAGGCGCACCAAACGTGGGACGGAACGCCTCGTCCCACTCTGTTTCGTCTCATCCCGTCTGCATACCAAACAATACCTTTTGGTATGCAGATGGACGGGACGTAACGGAATGGGACGGAACGGAACGGAGAGGGAGCAAAGATGCCCTTGGATGGAAACAAGGAGCAAGAAGAAGGAGACGGAGATGTTATAATTTTGTGTTCCATAGATGTGGAACGAATCGTTCCGGAAGGGTGAGGCGGAACGAAAATTCACCCAAAATTTGTCCTGTGGAACAGCATGTTCCATCCGTTTTTGGCGCACCAAACGTGGAACGGAACGCCTCGTCCCACTCCATTCCGTCATGTCCCACGTATTAAACGGTACCTAAGGAAACAATCATAACACTTTTCAATTAGTGCAGTGGGTTACGATTGTTACTGTTTCATTCGCTTGACTTATTGAAGTATAACATTCATCTACAGAAAACATGCAGTGGGTGACGATTGTTACTCTTTCATTCAGATTGAAGTAGAACATTCATCTATATGTGTTTTCTGTCACGTTTGGTATCCCTTAGCTTAATTAATCAATTATTTCTAGGTTATTGCTTTTACAGCTGCATTTTTGTTCAATTAATTAATTACTGCATTTAACTGGAAAAAGTAAGAACAATGCTAGGTAGGGACCAATATTTTACCATGAATTATTAGGAATTAAGAATTTAATGCCAATTGCCACACACACACACATCTGAAACCATATGGCCATATATTTTACCATGAATTATTAGGAATTAAGAATTTAATGCCAATTGCCCCACACACACACACACATCTGAAACCATATGGCCATTGTGTAGTGTTTATAGTTTCTATGAAGAACCATATTCATCCATTTTCTTTCCTACAAAATGAATGTCTTAATAGTTTTGGATTTGTCTAATCTTTTGCAAGAATGAACTAGGAATGATGTTAAAAAAGATAAATGTTTCGAATTGTTAAAATACAAAGTGGGCCCCTTAAAACATATGTCAAAAATTGTGTAAAATATAAATGGCGTCATGGATCCACCCTATATGTATATGTGTTTCATTGGTTGGGAATTAATTAAGAATATTTAAGTTAAGCACGATTCTGAAAAGAATGAATCCAAGAAAGATACTCCATTGCAATATGTTTGTACCCAAAAAGTTGCACTTTGAATTTGAATATGTAATGTTAAGCGGAAACTTTACCCGTTGGTTTGGCCAAAAAAGCTCATTTGATTTGCAGGCAAGAGGTTGGTGGGGTTTGATATTCTTTGATAAATGGTAGATATAGAGAATATTGGAGGGTTTTGCTTTCGCTTTGCAGGGCCAAGATTTACTTGTGATTTCTGTTTGTACAGGAAACATATTAAAAACCGAAAAAGGTGAAATATTATTGTGCAAATAATTCATGGGATGGGATATGGTGATGGTGAAGGTTTCGTAATCTAGCTAAAATTCCCCAGCATGCCAGCTTAAAAGTGACTTCATGATCTCCAAGTGCGAACATGCATAAGATATCGAAATCTGTGCCTGGTTCGGCATGCATGCATAATGTCACAAATTTTTAAGATCATGCAACTCTAGCTTCGTATACATATCTTAGGAGTTTTACTTATCTTTATATGAAAAAAAAGGAAGAAAAGGTTGCATGATTTTATACATTTAAAACTAAATGATATTTATCAGACAAACTTTAACAATACATTAAAGTGATCGGTAAGATATCAAAGATACAACAATAAAAATAATAATCTTATAACAAAAAAACTAATGCCAAACAAAACTACAATACTCAAACAACTTAGATCATCAAATTTAGCATAACTCAAAGCTAAGTCCATACAATTTAAAACAATCAAAACCCCAAATTGTTAAACCCATAACCCTATACGTTTGACCGCCACCACGAATCCAAATCAAAACCCTAAATAAGTGATGTTATATGATTTTAAAAAGGATTCAGAAATTATAAAGAATAATCATTGTTATAAATTAGTTAATTACCCTATCTATTAATGTGTATGGGAAATATAAATTGTCAGTCAAATTTCTAAAACCAAATAAAAGATTTGATAGCTAGGGTTTGGCCCTCCATAAAGGAAATCCACCATGTATATTTTTTTGAAGATCTAACCCAAACTATGGATTAAATTTCTAAAACACAAAACTTGTCATTTTCTATCCCTCATGGGTCTTAATTTCTTTATATTATTGTACGGAGATCGCAACAAAAGAAACAAAAGATGGTGGAGAACTTTACAAGGTGATAACGACTATCAGAGAATATAATGCAGTACTATATATCTAGCTGTTAGCAGTCCTTTCATATCAGAATGTTACGACCAAACTCCCGTCAAGCTAGTTAGCTTTAATACATATATTTGGCTGGCAAACTTTCCCGATCAAGCTTGTAAATATTCATGTTATCATTATGTAACTTTGTATGTCTCCGAATTATATTATTAGCAATGTATGACTAAACTAGTAAGGTCGAAAAGCATTTGTGTGGTTTATCAGCTGCAATTATAACTAGATAGCTTTTGGAAAATCTATCTGAAGCCAGAAACCTTGCAACAACCCCAGAGAAAAATGAAATGATGAGGAGCATGATTGTTTTTGGCTGTCCAAAAACCAGAAAATACAATAAATTGCTGAATGCAAGGAATTGAAAAAGGAGAAATAATTATCACATCTGCCTTGAAAGCAAAATAATGTACAAGCTGATTTGATTTGCAGCTAGCTAGGGTCAGGGGAAGAGTATGAGTTGAGGGCATGTGCATGCTTCTGAGAGACGAATGGTCATGTCAGTATGTCACTCCCCCTAGCATATAACACGTCTCCTATATGGTGGCCCTTGCAGTTGCAGAATTAGCAAGAAAATAAGAGAACTCACACGCACCATGTACAGTTTTTAAGTGAAAGTTGGCACTCCTCGTTTAAAGATGCCTCCCTTGTGGATAGTGGGGTCTTTTCTTTCTAATCACTTCATACTAATCTTCATTCCAAACTCTTAAATTTGAACAACTTTTTGTTTGTATTAGTATTTGTCCCTACTTGATTAAAGGGGGCTTCATTATGGCGAGGATAATATATATTTACAATGAGTTTGATATTTCTTTGGTTTGTTAGTTTCATTAGAGTAGCTTAATTTTTGTGACACTGTTGTTCACGTGATGTTACTTGTGGAGCAAAAATAGTAGAAATTTACATCCACATTACTAATTTAGGATTTATTAAGAGTAACATGAGTAAATGTATAACATTATAGGATAGTGGGAAGTGTGTGAACTTCAAAAAAATAAAAAATAAAAATTCACCTACAATATTTTGGCCATTAAATCTTTAAGATACTTCATATTGTTTAAAAACACGTTTCCACATTTTATTGTGAGATGAATTGAAATTCAAACATCTTTACAAATTCAGACATCTTTAATGACTCAATTAAAATGCCCTACTTTTGACTTAAATCACCTGTGTTTGATACTTGAATCTCTACTATATATATAAGTTAAAACTGCAAAACGCAATTGCTTAAAGTATCCCAAAAAGATATGAGATGATTAGCAAAGGGGAAAAAAGGGTAAGCCATTCAACCTGCCCTACTTTTGACTTAAATCACCTATGTTTGATGCTTGAATCTTGATTATATATATAAGTTAAAACTGTAAAACGCAATTGCTTAAAGTATCCCAAAAAGATATGAGATGATTAGCAAAAGGGGAAAAAGGGCAAGCCATTCAACCCACGTGGGCAAAGCTTAAAAAGATGAACTGGTAACCACCCGTGCATATCTATGAAGGATACCACATGTAGAATTGTAGTTGCCCTAACCCTAAATTTACTGCACTTTTTGTAGTAAAACAGTGAATACGCATTAAAACTGGTGATACGTGAATATATACACTGAATTGCCTAGTACTTTTTGTACCTACGTACTGTCCTATCTGCTGATCACTATGTCTTTCTATCTTTCACTTTTTCTCACCGGAATCTTTGCTAAATTTGAAGTAGCCATAGTGGGAAGCAAGGTTTGCTTTTACAGGAGGAGACGTGGGGTTGCCAAGGACTCAAGACTCGAGAAAAAGCTAAAGTAGGAGGAATTGAGCTGAACCAAATTAAATAGGCCCCCCCGTTAACACATTATTCACGTACGTACGTAGATTTCACGTTCTGTAATCTACAATTGCAGAGACACACACATATATAGCTAGCTAGCAGGTCGACTCACAGAAAACAAAAATATCGATCATGACCGGAAACAAAAGATCATCATCAGTTGTGAAAGCAGGAAATGCACAGCCGAAGAAGAACTTGTGGAAGCCAGAGGAGGACTTGATTCTCCGACAATATGTGGAAACTCATGGTGAAGGCAACTGGGCAACTGTTTCCAAGCGATCAGGTTCATTAGTTAGTTATTCATCGTACTCTCTCTCTCTCTCTCTCTCTCTCTCTCTCTCTCTCTCACACACACACACACAAACCCTAAACATAAAACATGCATGCATATGCAGGTCTGAAGAGGGGAGGAAAGAGCTGTAGGCTAAGATGGAAGAATTACTTGAGACCTAACATCAAACGTGGAGACATGTCCCAAGAAGAGCAAGACCTCATCATCCGCATGCACAAGCTTCTTGGCAATCGGTCAGTAATTAATGATCAACTAATCATCATCAGCACTTCAATGAATTCATCACTTAACCTTCACTAATTACTTTGGTTGCTTTGCTACAAAATATATATCTACATAGATGGTCACTGATCGCGGGCCGACTTCCTGGCCGAACGGATAATGAAGTGAAGAACTACTGGAATACCCATTTGAACAAGAATATCAGCTGCTGCCCGGCAGCTGGAAGCAAAAGGAAAAGTACCACCATCACTGACTACTCAAACGATGGCATCAATATCACTAAGAAAAAGAACAAAATCGGCACGGGTAAGACTTCGAGCACTGGCACTACTACTACTGATGATCCGATGATCACCAGTAGTACTGATCGAATTCCAAAAGACACCAGTTCTGATCATCAGCATCAGCATCACAAGGAGCCGAATATTGAATCAATGTTTACTTCTACTAGTACAGAAGAGAGCTGGTTTTACGACGACATGGACTTTGAATCTCCAAGTGAGCTGCAGTACTACCAGTATTACCTGCCCAGCTTCAGTTCAAACTTCAACGCAGCGTTTGCGTTTGATGACGAGCCTTTCATTGGATATATGGACTCTCTTCTTTTATTTGATTAAATAAGCACTTGTATACTTTAGTGTGGCAGCTGCTATAGGTATTGTTAAGCCTCATAATAATTTAGAGCTAGCTAGCCTCCTCTAGTATCCAGTGCTTGTTTTTCTCTGCAGTTGAACAACTGACAAGGGTAGTGCTATTTCCACACCCTTTTTTACCTCCCAACATACCGTTGTTAATTTTATTATTTTTGTTTGCTATTCTTCTTTAATTCCGGATTAGACGGCCAAAAATTTAGAAGCATGTGTGATACATAAAATCGGGTGTATCGATAGCACCACCAAACTAACAGTAGTCACCGACATTAGTTGTGCAAAAAATTGTCATGAATGTACCTTTTACACACCCTCATTTTGTACAACTCTTACCAGTGACCACTATCGGGTTTTCTTTGCAGTGAGTCACCTCGCTTGATGACACCTCTCTCCTTTTTTGAACACTAAAGAGCTTTTTTGCAACGAACATGTCAATTTGTCAATATCGCAAAATCAATATCAATCATGCATCAGTGAGAAAATTAAAACGCACGGCAATGGCCGATCAACTTGAAATACCGCCATAATTACATATCCACATCGCATGTCAATTTCTCGTATTGGACACGCACGATGCCAAGGTGTAATTTCTTAAGACACGATAAATCATACAAACCACGGTTGCAGCCTTGCAGGTCAACATACGAAAAACAAGCTAATTGTCTTCGAAAAGCAATTATTAAATCTCCAAAATGACGGAGTTTAAGGTCGATGAATCCTCCCTCGAATGGGAATACATTTACAATATGTCGTCTAGTTCTTGTTGAGGGTACAATAAAACATCATCAACAGGCAATGACGGCGGAGTTCCCGGTGGAATGGAAGCAGCACCATTCTCACCGGCACATATGCACAGAGCCTCTGCATCCCTGACCACTGCATCAAGATCTATATGACCGCTCAGTTCATTGATGAACTTCAATAGAGTGTCGAAGTCCATTTGCTCCCCAATTATCTTACTACGGTGTCGCTTCAATATCGCCACACAGACGTACAGGTGCAGGTGCTCAGACGGATAATGTGTCCACAATACCTCCCACAAGCGCATTGTTTTGTCGAATTCAAATTCCCTAAAGATAGATATGTGATGAAACTCTATCAGGAAAACCGGAGTGAAAGAAATATACATAAACGAACCAATATTATGAATGAATGGAGTGTAGAACCTGACCTTTTAAATTGAATTAGAACCCAGCGGAAACAAAAGAAGTAATTCAAGCAGTCCTTCTGAGTAAAGTGATTGTGCAACGGAGCGTCTAACAACTCCACCAACTAACAACAATGATTCAAAATGAATTAAGAACACAGAACTACTATTTCTGCCTGGCAAAGCAACGTAAAGATAGATAAGAGAGAGAGAGACCTTAGTTATTGCAAAAAGTTGAGAGTGCATGCCACTTTGGTCACGGTTGAAATTGGGCCCAAGGCGCTCCATCAGTGAAACAAAACACCAAAACGATTCGGACTCATCCTCCATTACATACAATATTGGGGACAGCAGATCACTCATACCCTGCAAGACAAAAGAAAGATATATCATACAGTGATGGAACACAGCCTCCATAACTGAACTGGGGAGTTACATACTGAAACAACTTACATTCAGATTTCAATATTTGAAGATAAAGTTCTCACTTTACAAACATGACCACAAGAGACGGGAAGATGAAAGCTATATCCCAAATGAAAAATTTAACTACATATATGACAAATGTGCATAAACCACACAGCTAATATGGTTATATATCGTGAGATAATCACAAACCAAACTTTTACGCTGCCATGGTAAAATGGTATCTTACTTAAGCTTCATGTGTTTTGCAGAAACGTAAAATAAATTTATGCAGCCAACTAAGCAAGACTCTACTAAGCAGGAGAAGTAATCACCTGACAGTAACCAAGATCGAAGTTGTAAAATGAGTACGTTAAGAGTATATCACGTAACAGATTCACATTTGGATTATCATCCCCGTCATAGTAGGAGAGAGATCTGTCAGTCCTTACCTAAAGAAAAGTAAGAACAAAGTTAACAGTTTTAGACTTAAAAACAGCAATAATTCATAACTGAAGTTGAAAGCTCAGAATAAATCCGGCAAGTTTCATGATACCACATCTTTCTCAATGAGGCCCTTTCTCTCCCTGAATTTTGTAAATCTTTTGGCCTGTTCAGGGGAGATACCCTGCAGAGGAAAATACAAATATATATCATAAGCCACCTAATCAAGCTACTCAGGACAGTTGCATTTTTGTGCATGTTAGAGAATGAGAGAGAGAGGGACAGAGTGTGTGTACCTTAGTGGAAATATACAATAAAATTACTACCAACCTGCCATTGCTTCTTTATGGTTTCAAATTCTGACTTTTTAACGGCCCTAAGGTATTCCCTCTCAGCATCTGTTGAATGAAATGCATGGTATCCCAACAAGAAGGGCCAAACCTACAATTAAAATTAACAGTACTGATGACATAATGCATATTCAAACAAAGTTCTTGGTCATAGTTTCCAACATACAACAGTATAAAAACCTCTTTCCGTAGGTTGTGCTCAACTCCCCCATAAAATATTCTCTTTCTGATAGCTTCTGAGTCGATGATCCTTCCTTCAGAATCAAAGAAAGCTTCCCACTGCAAAAATAAGCGCAACTTACACAAAGCTATATGACAACACCAACACATTTCTAGCAGCTCCAGTTCTACTCTTCATTTTTAAAAGTGAAAAATAATCACCTCATCAGAGCCCAAAGGTGGCTGTCGTGGTTTTCCCCATACCATTGATTCTTTGTCAAACTGCCAATTTGAACAACGATTATGAATACAATGGACATAATAATCCGAAGGAAATTGTATGTTTGACTAAGCTTAAATTACATCTTAAAACCTTTTATCTACGAATTTCTATTGGCACCAAGCCAGAAAACTTCCTTGAGTTCATTTATAAATTGACAGCACTGATGGCAACAGTTTTTCCCAAAATGCATTATGTAGGTAAAACGGAAAATTTACCTCCAGGGAATCTGGGGGGACAGGACTTTTCTCAGGGGCTCTGTTTGAATCATGGGATGCCTTCTGAGGGTAATCAATGGGAGACTGGTTATTACTTCTCCTTTCTATAGCACCATATCCGTTACTATGATTATCACGGAAAAGTTGAGAAGTTGTTTCTCGAGCAAATTTGGTCACGAGAGAAAACTTTTCCAACACTTGAATTGAGAGATCTCGTGCAGGATCATGAACCCTTTGCCTTTGCCTCTCATTGTATTGAGAAATGCTTATACTTCCTTCTTGAACATACCCGCTTGTTCTCTCCTGGTTTTCATCTGAAGAGGTCTCACCAACTGAGACTAATGTAGATTGCCCACTTGCAACAGAAAGAGCCCTAGGCAACTCCAAAGATGATAGAGTTCTCTGAAGAAACAAATAAATTATGAGAAAACATTGCAGTTTCCAGCTTGATAGTATCATCAAGAAGACCAAAGTTTACAAGATAAATAATGCATACCTGGAGAGGATTTTGAAAATCATTCACCAGAAATACATTTGCATCTTCAGCTGACCTGAAAACATTCAACAGAATGAAAATTCTGGAAAATCTATTTTTAATTGGAAATTAAGGATTTGAACATGTAGCAAAACGAATCTTTCATCTTTGGACCTTAAGTTTCGGAAGGTCTTATATCAATTAACAATAATAACCAACCTCACAAGAAAAACATGTTGCTTTATTGTAGCAAGGAACTCTTTGACTCCTCCATTGTAGAAGTACAGAGGAGGAAATGCAAGTCCTGCAAAAACTTACTTTCAAACCACATAATACAAATACAAACAAAACATCATACAATACAGTTTTAGATATAAGCCTAAGTAAATCAAGGAGCAAAACGAAGGCTGCAGAAACAGTAAACCCGAATCGATCAAAGGCACATGTTTTCTACTTCATACGCCTGTCAACCTCTAGTGAAAAAGACTGGAGAAGAGGGTAACACTGACTCAATAGATTCTAGAGATCTTATAGGGCCCAACAGACTGAATTAGCCCTTCTACCCGAAAGAAGCTATAGGTGAGCTAGCAAGTAAGCTCCCTGACTCCTAAAGGCAGCTAATTTAGTATCATTTATATGCCTAGGGCTCTTACCACCTTTTCTTTTCTTCTAACCTTAAGACAATTACAAGATTTTTTAGCAAATCTAGTTAATTTCTTGAACTGTATGCACAAATTCTTCTTACATGGCACAATATCTGACCTTTATTACTGTTTACTTTTGGATAATAATATCTAGGGATAAGAGATGGACTATGAAAAATTGTGAAATTATAGAATATGCACTTAAAGTCTTGCACTTTAAGATGATTTGCTTTCTTCTACTTACTAGATATACTTCCAAATTGGTTGTTCAAATTGGGATTACGCTGCATTGGGATGACTAACAAGGCAGCCACCAAGGGTTGCCCTCTAAATAGTAAGTAGTATCAAGTACACAAGCTCCTAAGGAAATTATTCCAATTACTTATTACGCGAACAAAATAGCGGACAACAATAGTCTAGTAAAGCTGCCGAACAAATTGTGACCAACACTATATATAATTTGGCCTTACAAATCATGATCATGTTGCTTTACCTGTAGCCAAAACAACGATAATGTACTGCCATCCAAGCGCCGGAGTGTGGCGACGAATCGACCGCACCTCAGTTAATGGCACAGACCTTATGGTATAAAGATTTCTATCTACACCACCACAAGCACAAACCACAAAAATTGAATATATAAATAAATTCAACAAATTTAACAAAAATTAACTACTAAAATTCAAATTCTAAAGCTACAGAACCTTTCTCAGACACCCTAGCGTTCGAGTTTTGGCCGTTGTACGGAATCCATGTCTAGGAATTAAACCGAACCCAACGCAAAAATAATTAACAGATATATCAGTAATCAAGAGATAATCTTTAATTAATCAATCATTAATTAATCAATAATACCATGAAAAGAGAAGAGCCCTGCTTAATTAGCCTCAATCTTCCACTAATCCTCTCGGAGACGAACTGAGTGGGGTGGATGGCGACATTGTCTTTCAAGAAAACCACCTCGGCACCGTCATGCTCGCTCGACGAGCTGTGCTTCCCGCTATCGCTCCGCATCATGCTCGCCGAGCCCTAATCCAAAT